CCACCCCAAGATGCCAGGGCACAACACAAAATTTCAGTTCATACTGTTTTATCTTTTCTCTTGCAATTATATGTGACTCTCTTAGAAAAGTGCAAAAGTTTATTAGTAGATGCTGGATCCCAAACCTGAGTCTGCTGAAGCCCTTTTGAGACCTTAGGGACCCTGTTGCCCATTCTTAGAAATTCGGGCTCGTGAATTTTAGATTCAGAAGCACCACAGATGAGTTGATGGGTGTAGAAGCACATGCCTGTAATCCCAGCTACATGGGAGGCTGAGGCAATAGGATTGCTTGAGTGCAGGAGTTCAAGACCAGCCTGGGTAACATAGTGGGACACCATCTTATAAAAACAATTTTTTTTGAGATGGAGTCTCACTGTGTTGCCCAGGCTACACTACAATGGCTTGATCTTGGCTCACTGCATCCTCTGTCTCCTAGGTTCAAGTGATTCTCCTGTCTCAGTCTCCCAAGTAGCTGAGATTATAGGCACCCACCACCACACCCAGCTAAATTTTGTGTTTTTAGTAGAGATGGGGTTTTGCCATGTTGGTCAGGCTGGTCTTGAACTCCTGACCTCAGGTGATCCACCCGGCTTGGCCTTCCAAAGTGCTGGAATTATAGGCGTGATCCACTGTACTTGGCAAAAAAATGTTTTAATAACATGAAAAAAATTTTTAAGCACCACGGGGGTTCACATTACCTATCAGCCTCTTGACATTTCGTCGTCATCTTTTTTTTTTTTTTTTTGAGACAGGATCTAACTCTGTCACCTAGGCTAGAGTGCAGTGGCAGTGACATGATCGCGGCTCACTACAGTCTCGATCTCTAAGACTCAAGTGGTCTTCCCACCTCAGCCCCCTGAGTAGCTGGGACTGCAGACACATGCCACCATGCCCAGCTCATTTTTGTATTTTCGCAGAGACAGGGTTTCACCATGTTGCCCAGGCTAGTCTCAACTTCTGGGCTCAAGCAATCCGCCCATCTTGGCCTACCAAACTGCTTGGATTACAGGCATGAGCAACCGGGCCCAGCCTAGTTAGTCTTTATTAGTTATTTGACAGGCATCTTTCTTTTCATTTTCAACCCATGCAGACTGTGAACTTTGTAAAATATACAGAAAAGTTCATTAAACTCACATGCTCCACAATGATTCATTTATTTTAAAATAGAGGTCGGGTGCGGTCGCTTATGCCCGTAATCCCGGCGCTTTGGGAGGCCAAGGCGGGCAGATCACCTGAGGTCAAGAGTTGGAGACCAGCCTGACCAATATGATGAAACTCCGTCTCTACTAAAAATACAAAAAATTAGCAGGGCGTGGTGGCAGACTCCTGTAGTCCCAGCTACTCGGGAGACTGAGACAAGAGAATGGCGTGAACCTGGGAGGTAGAGCTTGCAGCAAGCCGAGATCATGTCACTGCACTCTAGGCTGGGCGACAGAGTGATACTCCGTCTCAAAAAAAAAAAATCCAGGTGTGGTGGCACGCGCCTGTAATCCCAGCTACTTGGGAGGCTAAGACAGGAGAATCTCTTGAACCCAGGAGGCGGAGGTTGCAGTGAGCCGAGATCACACCATTGCACTCCAGCCTAGGCAACAAGAGCGAAACACCATCTCAAAAAATAAAAATGAAAAGGCCGGGTGCAGTGGCTCACACCTGTAATCCCAACCCTTTGAGAGGCCCAGGCGAGCGGATCATGAGGTCGGGAGTTTGAGACCAACTTGGCCAACATGGTAAAACCCCATTTCTACTAAAAATACAAACAATAGCCAGGCGTGGTGCTGGGCGCAGTGCCGGGCACCTGTAATCCCAGCTACTCAGGACGCTGTGGTGGGCGAATGACTTGAAACCGGAAGGTGGAGGTTGTGGTGAGCCGAGATCATGCCACTGCACTACAGCCCAGGCGAAAGGGCAAAACTCCGTCTCAGAAAAAAAGAGATGGTGTCTCCTTATGTTGCCCCTGCTGTTCTTAAACTCCTGGGCTCAGGCAATCTTCCCACCGTGGCCTCTCCCAAAGTGCTGGGATTACAGGCATGCACCACTGCACCTGACCATCATGAATAATTTTAGAGGGAAACACCACGTAACCAATACCCAAGTCCAATGGGCATGGTTTTTAAAGGCATATTTCAAGTGTACCACGTGGAGAGCTGATTATTATTTAATGTTTTAAACCTCCCCGGGAAGTAGCGAACATTCCTGTCACATTCTGCAGAAAAAGAAATTGAAGCAGGGGGCAAAGCCATTTGCCAAGGTCATAGAGCCTGCAAGCCAATGGCAAGGCGGGATCTGAACCTGGGGCTTCAGATCCTGGGGCTTTATCTGATTAAATAGCAAGAGAGAGTGCTGAGATTTTTTTGGTGGTGGACAGTGCCTGAGGCAAGCCATTTTGAGAGCATCTGGGCCACTTGGGGAATTGAATCTTTACCAGGGCCTCCCACCTCCTGTTGCCCCTTCTCTGCAGGTGACCCCCCTCCCACAGTACCGCCCCAACCACTCAGAATCCCCAAGCCGCCTTCTTTGCACATGCTGAAGCTAATATTGCCCTCCACTCCACCCCAGCATCAGGCACCCTGGCCCAAGCCCTTCCCTGGGAGCCCTTCCTCCTCTCATGAGGCCTCCTTCCCAGCCCCTCAGAACAGCCTCCTTTATGAGACTGGCCAAGATCCCACTGAAACCTTCCCTATCAACTTTATAAAATTACTCAGGGAAGAAGGGAGGGGGCAACATGCAAATCAGCCCAGCTTGTTGCACACACAGCATTGGTCATGGGGTCAGCTGCTCTCTGACCCACTTGCTCAGAGTTGTTTGCTGCCTGTTGCTCCAGAGTCACATAGACCCTGTTACGAGGTCATAGTTCCCCTTCACTGCTCTATAGAAAACAACTTGAACATTATAAAACGTTAACGTTTCCATTCTAGATATTCTTTCAGGTCCTGCGCACCAGTGAAACTGAGGCAGGATAGGTAGTTAAGGAAGTGACCGTGTTCTCGGGATGCAGCGACCATGGCACCCGCACAGTCAACACAGTGAGCCTCAGCATTCGCATTGTAATTGAGCTCATTCAAGCAAAGCTATCTTCAGTAGAGAATTTCCCCCATAGACAGCATGAGCATTTTGATGTTACCTGTCCTCAAACGGATATTTTGCTCATTATAATAGTAGAAGACAGCCCTACGTGGAGATGTAATATGCTAGTGAGACATGTGACATATGAACAAGCATGTACAGCTACTGCGCATGTGCACCCAGAAGACCACCCACAGCATGCCTACTAGCAACACCTCTTCCTACCACCTTATGAATAATCATGTAAGACTCCCATATAGGGAGTGTCCCTACTGCCAGTGTCTGCTGGCTCACCCTTATGAGCAGCCTGCCTTGAATCCTCTCTCTCTCATGGTATACCGTCCATTCTGCACGTAACTTTCAAAATATTCTTTTTCCTTTGCAACAAATTATGCTGCACTTCTTTCGCT